ACATAAAAGGTGCTTTCAAAAATGAGTCTCCAAGCGCCATCACAAGCTCACTCACAGACCTGGGGAGCTTCTTACTAGCTTCTTACTAGGCGGTCCATCAAGTCTACACTGGGGCTGTCCACGGTATCCAGATATGTGAGTGGCGGAACGCCTCAGGGCGGTGTACTCTCACCCTTCTTATGGAACGTGGCGGTGAACTCAATCCTACGATCCTTAGAAGGGATAGGGGGATCCCTCAAACTTTGTGCGAACGCATGACTGATGCATTAAGCACACTTTCAACTTGGGCAACGTCAAGTGGCCTAAGTGTAAATCCCAGCAAAACAGAGCTGGAAATACAAAATCCCACCTCTTCGTCCCCCATTACTAAAGTGGGTACCATTATCCTTCAGCAGTTCAGCCAAATATCTAGGCTTGATACTAGATAGGAAGCTGGACTGGAATCTGAACATTGAAGACTAGAGTGAGGAAAGCCACAATCGCACTATATACCTGCAGAAAATCCATTGGACTGAAATGGGGCATGGCCCCCTACGTGGTCCACTGGCATAATACTGCAATAATCAGACCCATACTTTTATATGGTGTCTCCATATGGTGGCCATCACTTACGAAAAACTCATCTCTTCAAAGACTTAATAAAGTTCAGCGACAGGCTAAACTATCGATCTCGATCTCTACGCACTACTCCAAAAGATGCACTAGATGCAATTCTGGGAATACTCCCAATACATCTCATGGGGAAGATGAACGCCACGCTGGCGGCTCTTAGCATGAGAGAAACCAACCAGTGGTCAGAAGAATGCTTTGGTCATGCCAAAATTCTGAGAGGAAATGACACTATCCCCTCAGTCACTGACCACTGCATCCCAGAGGAGTATCCACATACTCCATTTCACACCATCATTCCCTCTAGAGAAGATTGGAACTTCGGCCCGCCAGGCCCAACCAATTCCATCAAAATATATACAGACGGTTCTAAGCTGGATAACCGCGTAGGCGGGGGTGTCTTCTGCGAAGAACTCGGCATCAGAAGAGCCTTCAGGCTACCGGATCACTACAGTGTGTTCCAGGCGGAAATCATATCCATTCAAGAAGCTCTTCTTATACTGGCAAACCCAACCACACATATCAGAGAAATCTGCATATACTCGGATAGCCAAGCGGCTATAAAATCCCTTAATGCCATCATGTCGAACTCGATGGTGGACTGGTGGGCACCCATGCCGCCAGACTAGGACTCTATCACAACGATTTCTGTAGAAGCTGCAGAGACGTGGAAGAGGAGGAAACTGTAACCCACCTCTTCTGCAACTGCCCGGCTTTGCCAAGGACAAGACAACGCTTCCTAGGAGCCAGCCTCCTCCCAAATCTATCGGTACTAGCAAACAGAAAGCCGATAGAAATTTTCAAGTTCATCCAGGAAGCTGGATGGACGTAATACTCGCGCAGACATGCAGCCAAACACGGGCATTTGGGAAGTGGACTTGTCCATGCGGTATCACAACGGGCCAATTTCTAGGGCCTAAGTGAGTCGGGGTATATACCCTAGGTGTCGCTCCTACCTACCTACCTACCTAGCTTCGCGTGGTTGTACCACTGCAGAATTGATTGATTCACATTGGTTTGGTCGTCCAAAGTTTTTACAATGTGACCAGAACCTTTGGCCAACTAATTCTCACATTAAGTTGACCAAAAAGCAATAAGTGCTGGAGAAGCGGAAGAATGCGACGGTTCTCATCACGGCCGATAATGCTTCAAATCCAATTTTGGATTTAATTAAAAGGTCATCGTCGTATTTGAAAATTCTCCGCATAGTGTCGTACATGTTCCGATTTATAAACGGAACACATATCACTTCTACGAACTTCGGTTGAATTACACGTCGCCTTTTTGGCCATTGTGCACGTAGTTCAGCATACGGCTTTTGCAGCCCAAATAGTCAAATTGGATAAGTCGGTGATCCTGCAACCGTCGTACTAGAAGCTTAATCCATTTCTGAGTCCTTATCAGTATGGAAAGCGAACTTTAATGCTGGTACGAATTGGCGGCTGTTTACTCAAAGCGCCGTGGCCCCACAATGCGAAATTCCCATTACTCATGCCAAAAGATGGCGATTTGTAAATTTATATCTGCGGTACTTGCACCTTACCGAGCGCTCTTGGTTATTCTTCGCCAGAATACTTGACTGGTAAACGCGAGGCAAGTGTGTGCATTGTTTTCGATACAAACCAATACTAGCCAACCAAATAATAGGAACTTTACCCGCTGATCGGCTACATGGATGTAGGCCGTTTGAAGTCAGCGGAGTGGACTTTTGTAGTCCAGTTCCTGTCACGCTGGGAATACGTGGCAGAGCGCCAAGATGTACGTTGCCGTCTTCGTTTGTTTTACATCCAAAGATGTGCACATTAATATCATTTCTGACGTGACTGCTAATTCTTTTATAATGTGTTTATCCAGCTTTGAGGGTCGCGTGGAGCAGTCCAGCGAGTTCCGGGCAAGCTTCATCAGCAACCAGGATGCCATCACGTCGTATGCTGCCACGAAGGGAATAACGTTCGAGTTTATTCCCCCTCGAGCGCCGCATTTCTGCTGCCTATGGGAAGCGACCGTAAAGTCGGCAAAGGTACTCCTCTTCAAGGCCATAGGAAGCACCAAGCTGGGGCAGGACGAGCTGGCGACCGTCCTGGTAGAGGTGGAGGCCATCCTTAATTCGCGGCCAATCGTGGTGGACGGAGCGAATCCCACTGACGGCGAAGCGATAACTCCAGCTCACATACTCATAGGCGAAACGCTCGTACCACTGCCAGCCGGGTCAGGGCATCGCGTGAGAGATGACAAGCTGACCTACTTGCAAGGCTGGCAGCTGATTTCAGGCATCAATCAGCGGTTTTGGGCAGACTGGTCCAGAGACTACCTGCTAAGCCTGCAGCAGCGCTAAAAGTGGGCAATAGGTCGAACAAATCTGGAGACCGAAGCAGTCGTGCTCGTCCATGAGGACAACGCGCCGCCTCAGCAGTGGTTGCTGGGAGTCGTCCAAGAGACGATAAAAGGCGCAGATGGAAAAATGCGCGTGGCAATAGTAAGGACGAAGGCGGGCGTATTAAACAGGGCAATTCAGCTTGGCGCCTCTACCTGTCGAGCTTTCTTGAAGCGAATAGCTTCAACACGGCCAATGTTTGGTCATTTCATAGATTTAAGTTTGTTGGAAAACATTTGAATTATAGATTTAAGTTCTTGTAAGCAATAATTGTAAGTGCGCTCATTTTAATTTAGCAGCTGTAAATTAATTCTCTCTCGCTGTTAACAAAAGGTCCACAAATTTGTTATGCGTGTGCTAAGCCTTGCATGGATAACAATAAACACTTAAAAATTGGAAGTCGATTCGTGCAGTTCGTTCGTACATATTTTTTCTTTCGGTAATGCTTTATTGTATATAAGTCTATAATCGACTTATATATACATTTTGTTTGGACCGTGGCGACGAGGACCATTTGTACTTTGCCTACCGGCAATTTCGCTTGATCTGAGCGATCACATGTAAAAGAGCAAAAGTGCAAACATGTCACCTTTACCTAAACAAACAAACTTGTCCTCCATTGTCGCTAAACAACATTATTCTAAATTATTATTCCACAAAACAACGATGTAACATACCTCGGTATCCATTTGGATAAACGACTTACTTGGCGCAAACACATCGAAGCGAAAAGAGATCAACTGAAACTAAAAGCTAGTAATCTATATTGGCTTATAAACGTCCGCTCACCAGTAAAACTCTTCAACAATGCAGTTCTCAAACCAATTTGAACATATGGCGCTGAACTATGCAGAAACGCTTCCATTAGTAATTTGTAGTTAATCGAGATATCTTAATCGAAGATACTGAAAACCATCACTGGGGAACCCAGGTACATACGGAATGAAAATGTGGAATCTGTTAAAGATGAAATCGCCAAGCTGAAAGCAAAGTATTAGCTTAAGCTTCGGAACTTGTGCAATATTTAACTTGCTAGCTAAGCTGGTCATACATAACTCCGGCGAAGAGACCTCCGCACCCAGCAATAACTGTTAGGGCCGTAATTTAAATAGTTAAATGTAATTAATGAAATAACTAGAGAGAAGATTCGAAAAAAAAGTTTAAGTGCTTGGAAAGGATTAAAAAATTGACAAACCTCAGCATGGGGACCTAAAACAACTGCTTTATGAGAAATAATTGCCTCAGGCTTACTCAGTGCGTTGAAATGCTGAAAGGAAGTTCGTGGCATTGGACACTTTAAAAAATCTTGTGGGAATGGGAACATCGGTGTGCGATGGGAACATCGGCCTCTATGCTGAAACTGCCATACCTCCAGCTTTTCGGTCTCATCTTAGGTTTTGGTGTTGCCAGAACAGCATAACAAGACGAGTCATCTATGTCTGTCTGTCTGTTTGTCCGTCCGTATGACCACCTGGATCTCAAAGACTATAAGAGCTGGAGACACCAAATTTTGAACAAAAATGCATTATGTGTTTACGCTAATTCACTACCTCCTACCTCTCCTTTACAATTAGGAATTTTCCATAACTCCCGTAATTCTCAGAATTTTGGACTTAAATTTGGCAAACGTCCACTCCGTGATTATGATTAGGCCGTATGGCAAGTTTTATCATGATAGGAAAGTTATAGCCATATATAGGTTCTCTCTGCTCAATCGCAGCCCGCAGCTGTTGTTGCTGTCGCTGCTTTGGTTTATCTTTGTGCTGCATACTTGCTTACACAGGCACGAATAGACGCGCATATACTCACATACACACAATTCCTACATAAATGTGCAATTATACATCCTTTACGTGAGTTCGAACACCAATGGAGGTAAAATGGATGGAATTTTTTTTTATTTTTCTTAATTTTTTTAATTTCTATAATTATTTTACACATATGTACAGAGTATTTCAAAGTCGGGACACCCGACTTTAGCTGCTCCACTTATTTTATTTTTTGAGAAACAACATACCTGTTCAATATGTTCCAATGTGTGGTTGCGGCAAGAGTTATATATAGGTGCACACAAATTAGGTAGAATTGCTTGAATAATAAAATGTAGAAATTCGCCACCATCGCTAGTACATGTTTGTTTTTTTCCTATATACTCATGTGCTCTAAACAAAAGAACAAATGACAAAGGCAAACAGTCTTCTTCCGATCCAGTTATAAATAAGTTTCTGTTGAGAGTTTCTTCTCTGAAATAAGACGACCAAATGAAATAAAATAATTTTTATAGATATGCGCAAACATAAATATACATCGTAAATAAATTAATAAATAACAAGTGTAAAGCTAAAATCACGACTTTTAAATACTCACTTAATTATATAATATATGCACAATTAAGGATGCAATTGATTCCGAACAACAACGATTTGTAAGTTGTTGGTTGTGCGAGAATTTTATGCATATTAAGTGTGCTGGACTAAGTGGTCGTGACCTTGATAAAATTTACTCGCCTAAAAAAGGTTGTGGTGGTTTGAAATGGTCATGCCCTGTTTGCATAGACATACAATTTAATTTCTCTCGTATGTATGACAATGTGAGAAATAAATTTTTGAGCTTGCATAGAATTACTAAGCAACTCTCAAGTGAGTTTGACACAGGGACCGACTTGCTTAGTAAATATAAGTTCGAATCTCCTCCCAAGCGTAGGCTTGAACCTCAATTCTTAGAGGTGCCACCTAGCTCGGCTCAGATAGCTTCTCCGATTCCCTCGCTATTAAATGTAGATGTGTCGCTGGCAATTTCATTGTCTACTTCGCCTGGAAATTTATTTGAAATTTCCCCTCTGCCTTTGCCGGCTCATGTTATGTTTGCCCCGTTGGTAGCTCCTTCTATGCCTAATATATCTAAACCTGTAAGAACAAGGGCTTCTTCTAAAACGTCGGCACCACCTCCTATAGTTTCTTCAGGAGCTGTAGAAGGTGCGGTAGTCACAGCCCTTCCTCTGCCCCCGTCTCTCACAGTGGTAGCTCCTAGAAAGCAAGTTTTCGTGTCTCGGTTGTCCCCTGATACTTCTTGTGAGACTATCGCTGCCTATATCGCAAGTAAGTCGACAGTTGCTGTATCTATTTCTAAGTTTAGCTTTTCCGAGCCCCGAGAAATAGCCTCGTTCAAAATAAGTGTACCACCTGAATCATTTACAACTATTTGTGACCCAAAATGTTGGCCGCCACAAATGATTGTACATGAGTTTAGGCAGAAAAAACGAGCTCGCTCTTTGCCGGTCAACTTACAGTCTGCTGGCCAATCTTCGCAGCCAACCTCAAGCTCGACTTCAAAAAACTAGGAGCTCGTCCACTTTCGTTAAACATTCTATATCAGAATGTTAGGGGTATTGTGTCCAAGCTCAGTAGTTTATTTCTTAGTAGTTTTTCGTTCGAATCTGATATTATTGCGTTCTCAGAGACGTGGTTAAATCCCACGAAATTTTATCAGATAATTTTTGTATCTTTCGACGAGATCGTCCGGCTCGACGTGGCGGAAGCGTACTGATTGCAGTCAATTCCTCCTATCGGTCGGAAATAATTGATGTAAATGTACCTAATGATGTTGAATTTGTTGCTGTAAGAGTATCTTTTCCGTCTTTTGCACTAGACATCTCTTGTTCTTATATACCTCCCTCTTCTGATATACAGGTGTAAATGGAACATATAACCTGTATAAAAGGAATCTCTAATCTCCTACGTGACAGTGACGCGTTCGTTGTGGTAGGTGATTTTAATTTGCCTAACATTGAATGGTCATTCTTCAATCAGTCTAATTATTTGTTACCCTCGGCAGAGCATGCCTGTTTAGACTGCTTGTTTGACCTTTCATTGTTCCAAATTAATTCTATACCTAATCACTTAAGCAGAATGCTGATATCGTCTTTGTCACCGACCCTGCTAGTACAGTTATCTGTAGGTCTTCTCCCCTTATACTGAAGATTCTTACCACCCTACTTTGCAAATCTCCCTCTCCATTTCAAACCCTACCTCTACTCCAGCACTTATTCCCAAAAATACTAGTCTGTGCTTTCGCGAAGGAAATTTTTCTTTGCTAAACGAACTTATTGCAGCAACTAATTGGTCCTATTTGTATAGTGTTGTTGACATCAACATAGCCGTAAAGTTTTTCTATGACACTATTAATGCTCTTTTTGATGTCTGCATCCCAAAACGTGTAATTTCGTCTGCGTCATCAAAACCTCCTTGGTTTTCACCAAGACTTTCCAACTTCAAAAATGTTAAATCTAGATGCTTTAAAAAGTATAAGCAGTCGGGCCTATCTATTGACTTCTATAAATACTCTTTAGCGAAATCCAATTTTGCTCTCCTTAATTCACGATGTTATAATAATTACCTTGCCCGATGCAAGATACAATTTGCACAGGACCCTAAACAATTCTATAAGTTCGTTAACTCTAAACGTAAATCTGCTTCCCTTCCTTCGTCATTTTTGCTTGGTGACAAAAAAGCCAGCAACGATTCTGAAGCTGCTGACTTGTTTGCCAACTTCTTCCAATCAACTTATTCCTCTGTTTCTATTAGTAATAACTCTTATCCTTATAGCATTTCATCTTCTCACACTATTTACGCTCCCATAATTTCTGATAGCTGTCTACTCTCTGCTATCAAATCCTTAAAATCTTCATACTCTCCTGGAGCAGACAATATTCCTAGTTGTGTTCTCAAGGAGTGTTCTAGTTCCCTTTTACAACCATTACTTAAACTTTTTAATCTGTCACTTGGTTCCTCAATCTTTCCAACTATTTGGAGAGAATCTTTTATAATTCCTTTATATAAAAAGGGTGGTAAGTCTGATATTTCGAATTACAGAGGTATTGCAAAGTTGTCCGCTATACCAAAATTATTTGAAAAAATAGTTTGCGGCACTTTGCAGCATCTCTGCAAATCTGTCATATCTCCTGCTCAACATGGTTTTATTAAGAGACGGTCTACTACGACCAATTTGCTGAAATTTACTTCCTTGGTAAATGAAGCATTTACTCTAAAAATGCAGACTGATGTCGTTTACACTGACTTCAGTAAAGCATTTGACTCTGTGAACCATGATCTTCTGCTCTTTAAGCTAAGTCGTATAGGATTTCCCTCCGCTTTTTTGAGTTGGATTTCGTCTTATCTAAAAAATAGGACCCAACGGATTAGGTCGCACATTTCTAAGCCCGTGTTTGCATCATCAGGTGTGCCTCAAGGTAGCCATCTTGGCCCCTTACTTTTTACATTATTTATTAATGACCTCCCCTCTACCTTGTCACACTCTCATATTCTTACTATATGTATGCTGATGACCATACTCATTGTCATCGCCTGCAGGATGATCTGAACTGCATGCAATCGTGGTGCTTAGCTAACCACTTGTACCTGAATTGCGCTAAGTGTAAGTTCATGACATTTCACCGAACTTTGCCCCATTTAGTCACGTATACGATTGACAATGTGCCATTGCAGCGTATATCGACTGTTGAAGACCTTGGAGTTCTTTTTGATTCCAAATTGAACTTCAACCTTCACATATCTAGTATTGTCAATAAGGCTATGGGATTACTTCGATTCATTAAACGTTGGTCCAAGGAATTCAATGACCCATATAGCACTAAGCTTCTTTACACTGCACTAGTACGCCCTGTGCTTGAATACTGCTCATGCGTTTGGTGCCCGCAGTATAGAAAGCAACAGGAACGTATTGAGTCTGTTCAGAAGCAATTCCTTCTTTTTGCTCTACGTGGTTTAAGCTGGGATCCCAACCTCCGCTTGCCATCGTACTCTAGCAGGCTGATGCTTATAAACCTTCCTTCTTTAGTAAATCGTAGGACTGTTCTTGGAGTAGTTTTTCTCCACAAGTTGATTATCGGCGAGGTTGACTCCTCTTCCCTCTTAGGTCGCCTTAATTTTTCCGTTCCTTGTAGAGCAACAAGGAATTATTTGCCATTCGTCTTGTCTAGGTGCACAATCGTTTTCGAGTCATTTGTTCCAATTATAATGAGCTTTCTCATTTACTTTCAACAGAACTCTCTCTTTATTCTATGAAAGTTATTCTTTATAGTTATCTCCGTGGAAATCTCTGACCACATACTGCTGTGAGTCGGGGCATAGCTGGCTGGACTGGCTTAAAACTTTCCCCCACCAGGTTGGAGATTTCCCTCTTTCTCCTTTTGTCTTTCTTGTTCCATCGTTCTCTTTCCCTGTTTCTCTCTTCCCCGTTCTCTTCCTCTTCCTTTCTCTCCCTCTTTACCTCTGTCTCTTTCTACTCCTTACTTTTTCTAATTAGCTCCTAAGTAGAATTAATTTTCCTCTTCTACATCATACTATTTGTTTAGATTGTTAGGTCTATAATGTCTCTGACCACATATGGCTGTGAATCGGGGCATAGCTGGCCAACTGGAAAATAAAATTCCCCCAACGTGTCGGGGGCATTTATAGACGTTATTGTACAGCTTTTTCGTAGGCTTTCTTATCTTTTAAGTTGAGACTATGTTATATTAATCATATTTGAATTTTTAATTTTAGATCTTAATATATATATAAAATGTTATTACTTATATATTGTTATTGAATAAATCGACAAACCCACTTGTTGATTTAAATAAATAAATAAACATCTTTAAGCTGTTTTATTGTGTCAAATTGGCGAGCATTCCTATAAACTTTGGCTAATAGTTTTAGTAATTAGTTTGGCCATCTGGGCCATCTAAGTTATTTTTTTTCTCGTCGGAAAGAATAGTATTGCGAAATTTATTTATCCAAAATTTGTGCTTTTCAGCAAATGATAAACGAGCCCGACGGAAATGGAAGTAGCTTAAGTACTGGCTCTCGGGAAGTATATTAAGCGTTGATATTTTCAACCAGAATTTGGTGGAATCATCTTCTAGTAACATTGAGATCTATATGACCCCTTATCTCGTTGCAAGACATGTACTTTTGAACAACAAGACGCCTAATTTCCCGTTTACAATGTTCGTCAATGTTGGTTGGTTTCCGTACCTTTTGATCTCACCATAAGAATCAGGGTTCTTAAGGAAATTTTTTTATTGTGTTTCGATGTCGATTGACTCTGTCAGCTATTTTTGTACCTTTTCTTCTTATTAAGCCTCGATCATTCGCTCGATTAAATGCATTCCATGTGGCATTTTAGGTAAAATCCACATTTCGTATGAACATTCAATATTTAAAAACACGTGCACTAGTTT